AACCAATGTCATAAAACAGCATGTGTGTTACTGTTACATGAGAAACTATCTGTTCTGTAAGCCTTCACCTGAAGTACAATAAAATATTAAAAAAAAAAAAAAAATCTGTACTTAAAAGGCTAAGAAAAATGAAAGTGGTGTGTTCCCTTCCAAAGGAGAGATAGAGTTTGGTACTTAGCCAACAACCTGTCTTCCTTTCTCTAGAAACCATTTGGAATAATTTAGTCAGGGGAATGGCTTCATGAAACTTTAGTAAAAATTAAGAGTGATAAAGCTAAATAGATGATTTGTTTTTTTAAGAAAAAGATTGATGGAAGGGGACTGAATGATTAATAAAATGTAGGAGGACAGATTTTTTTATTCTTTTAGATCTTTGATCTTGATCAATAAATTAATCCATTGGTTGAGTAAGCCACACTGTCTGTGCTCTCTCATGCTAATTTCCAGTAATTGAATCACCGGCCTTATTGGCTTGAGACCAAGTCCCTGCTTATTTCCTAGTTTAGCAAGTGGTCTACTGTGTTGTTTCCCCTTTTCCTGAATCTCACCTAGACCCCTCTCACCTAGTCCTTTGGGTGTTGCCGTCTCCTTTAATTCCCCCAGTATATAAAATGCTATGCTGGAACCCAAATTCTTAAGCCAGGGTCCTTGTCAGCTGCTGTCAGACTTCCTTGACATTGACTGTTTGAACATATTATATCTTGCTGCCAGATTCACTTAACAGCGTACTCTGACTACCTGCATGCCCGTTAGACAAGTATGCATCACTGTAGATCTCTCACTGCTTGTTACTTTTATTTCTTTTTATTATCTGCCCTACTCTTCTGTCTTAGTTATCTAGTGCTGCTATAACAGAAATACCACAAGTGGATGGCTTTAACACACAGAAATTTCTTCTCTCACAGTCTAGGAGGCTTGATGTCCAAATTGAGGGCGCTAGCTCCAGGGGAAGGCTTTCTCTCTCTGTCGGTTCTAGGGGAAGGTCCTTGTCATCAATCTTCCCCTGGTCTAGGAGCTTCTCAGTGCAGGAACCCTGGATCCAAAGGATATGCTCTGCTCCTGGCTTTTCTTTCTTAGTGGCATAAGGTCTTTCTCCTCCCTGCTTGATTCTCTCTTTTATATCTCAAAAGAGATTTACTTAAGAGACAACCTAATCCTATAGATTGAGTCCCTCCACATTAACATAACTGCCTGTAATCCTGCCTCATTAACATCATAGAGGTTAGGATATACAACACAGAGGATAATCACATCAGATCACAAAATGGAGGACAATCATACAATACTGGGAATCATGGTCTAGCCAAGTTGACACATTTTTGGGGGACAAAATTCAATCCATAACATTCCACCCTCTGGACCCTAAAAATTCATGTTGTTGCTACATGTGAAACACATTTATCCCATCATATCATCCCAAAAGTCTCAAATCAACTCCATGTCCAAAATCTCATCTGCAAAATTCCTCTTCATCTGTGAAATCTAGAACATAAGTTATCTGCTTCCAAAGTACAATGGTGGAACAGGCACAAAGTAGACATTTCCATTATAAATGGGAGAAACTGGAGGGAAAGAAGGAATAAGAGGCACCAAGTGAGTCAGCAGAACACATTACATTAGCTCTCAAGGCATGAAAATAATCTTCTGTTCTCTGACACCATTTAGGCAATGGCCCTGCCCTCCAGATTCTGGGCATTGGCCACACTCTCCAGATTCTGGGTGGAGGTCCCTCTGCCCTGGGCTTTAGCTCTGCCTTCCAGGCCCACTATGACAGCAGCTCTGAGCCCTCAGCTTTGGGTGGCCCCATTCTCCTAGTCCATCTGAGTGGCGATGCTACCTCCTTCGCCCCGGAAAGCCCTGTTTTTCTGCCCCTTGGCCATGGTAGCCCTGGCCCCTCAGCTCTGGGCAGTGGATCTGGCCCCATCTCCATGGTACTGTGACTGGCAGTCCTGCACTCTGGAACTGAGTTGGTGAAGATCTGACTCTTTGAAACCTACGAGGCCTTGGCCCGACCCTTTGAGACCTAGCAGGCTGTGGTTCCACTCTTTGAGACCCCAAAGGTCGTGGCCCCATCCTTTGAGACTGAGGCAACTCTGCTTCCTGTGCTCCTTGTCTCTTTAGCTGCTGCTTTCTGGTTCCTTGGCCTCTTGGCCTGACAGTGCTAAGCTCTCTCGATCTGTGAGTTGGCAAGCCTACCTCCACCGATAAGTGCCCAGAGGCACCCCACTCCACCATCAAATCTCCTGCCTGAAGGCATTCAGCTTGCTTGCTCCATGGGTTGGCTCCTGCACCATCTTACACCAGTCTCCTGGTTCTGCTGCTGCCATTTCTCTGCTTCTGCTTCTTGTCATCTGGGCCATCTTCAGTAATATAGCTCTCATCTCTTACTTCTGAGCCCTCACCAGAATTGTCTTTGATGTCCCTAATTCCACCAACAATCTCTTCAGGGCAATCTAGGCTTTTAGTATTAGGGACTGTCTTAGGTTGGGTTCTCTAGAGAAGCAAAACCATACAATCTTAACCATCACACAGACTTTAAAACTTTTCCAGCCTCTACCCATTCACTGTTTCAAAACCTCTTCCACATTGTAGGTATCTGTTAGAACAGCACCCCACTTCTCCAGTAGCAAATTCTGTCTCAGTTATCTAGTGCTGCTATAAAAAAAATACCACAAGTGGATGGCTTTAACAAACAGAAGTTTATTCTCTCACAGTCTAGGAGGATAGAAGTCTGAATTCAGGGTGCCAGCTCCAGGGGAAGGCTTTCTGTGTCTGTTAGCTCTAGGGGAAGGTCCTTGTCATCAATCTTCCCCTGGTCTAGGAGCTTCTCAGTGCAGGGACACTGTGTCCAAAGGACAAGTTCTGCTCCTGGAACTTCTTTCTTGGTGGCATGAGGTCCCTCTCCTTTCTGCTCAATTCTCTCTTTTATACCTCAAAAGAGATTGACTCAATCTAATCCTGTAGGTTGAGTCCTGCCTCATTAACATAACTGCCTCTAATCCTGTTTCATTAACATCATAGAGGTTGGGATTTACAACACATAGGACAATCACATCAGATCACAAAATGAAGGACAACCATACAATACTGGGAATCACGGCCTAGCCAAGTTGATGCATATTTTTGGGGGACACAATTCAATCCATAACACCTTCAAAGCTTGTCTCTAGCTCCTAGCTTTTAGCAGTGGGTGAAAAAGTTCTATAGGCCATTCTCCCCCTTTGACATGTATATGTCTTTAAGAGGGAAAGTCTGGACCTTCTTTCTAGAATATCAACATCATAGACCTGTTCAGAACAAAAAATATCAAGATCATTCTGGACATGATTTATCACGGGTAATCAAAACTTGTGTTCAACTAAAAAGAAGCATTTTTCTTTCCAGAGGAAACTTGACAAGGTTAGGCAGAAGAGCTGAAGGAGGGAAGAGATGTTAGTCTCGGGTGAGCATAATTTACAGTATATGTCAGAACTTCCTTTTTCATTTGCAATAGATTGTCTACTTCTCCAGGTATTGTATTGTCTCACTTCCCCTCTGAAGACTTCTGATGAAACACAGAGGTCAGCTTCTGCTTCCCACATCCTGTATTACTGTCATTGCTAATAGGATTATGAGTCAGAGAATAAGCTCTCCTCTGATTCTGACTTCTATAAAAGCTTGGGTCTTTGGAAACATTTGTGAGGTTGTTTTGGCCAGAGCTGGATGATTTGTTATGCTG